GCTGAGGCAGGAGAATTGCTTGAACCCAGGAGACAGAGGTTGCAGTGAGCTGAGATACACCACTGCACTCCAGCCTGGGCAACAGAATGAGACTCTATCTCAAAAAAAAAAAAGATGGAACTGTTCCCAGAGATCCTCGGTGCCACTCCAGGTTTCAGCAAAGCTTTGCTAAGGGCCAGGGTCACGGACACCAGTGCACACAGGCTCTATAGGCAATCCCATCGTAGCCCCCTCCCCCTGAATGACCTCCAAACATCTATCCTGGCTCCACGTCTGGGCCCTTCATTTTCTTACATCTTGCCTGTGGCTGTCACCACACTCGGCAACCTCCTGTGTGTCACCTTGCACCCCCACTTCTGGGATGACTATTTCAATTCTTCATTCTCTCAAACCTCCAAGGCCTCCCAGCTGGCTCACCCCTGGCCTCTGCCCACTAGAGGACCCTCACTAGAAATACTCCTTAGTTGTGATGATCAAAAATGTCTCTAGTCATTGCCAAACATCCCCTCAGATGGAAAATCACCCTCAGTGAGACCCACTGATCTAGACCAACAGCCAGCCGCGCTCTCTCACACTTGTCACCCACATCTGGAATGCACACATTTGATGGACCTTCATCTGTCCTTTTTCAAAGCCCAGCATGGTCGAGCACCATGGTGCATGCCTGTAATCCCAGCAATTTTGGAGGCCAAGGCAGGAGGATTGTTTGAGCTCAGAAGTTAAGAGACCAGCCTAGGCACCATGTTGAAACCCCATCTCCACAAAAAATACTACAATTAGCAAGATGTGGTAGGCAAATGTGGTCCCAGCTACTCAGGAGGCTGAGGTGGGAGGATCGCTTGGGAGTTTAAGAATGGCCTGGCAAAGACATACATGAGGCCAACAAACATATGAAAAAAATGCTCATCATCACTGGTCATTAGAGAAATGCAAATCAAAACTACATTGAGATACCATCTCATGCCAGTTAGAATGACAATCATTAAAAAATCTGGAGACAACAGATGCTGGAGAGGATGTGGAAAAATAGGAACACTTTTACACTGCTGGTGGGAGTGTCAATTAGTTCAACCATTGTGGAAGACAGTGAAGCGATTCCTCAAGGATCTAGAAATAGAAATTCCATTTGACCCAGAAATCCCATTACTGGGTATATATCCAAAGGATTATAAATCATTCTGCTATAGGGACACATGCACACGAATGTTCGTTGCAGCACAGTTTACAATAGCAAAGACCTGAAACCAACCCAAATGCCCATTGATAATAGACTGGACAGGGAAAATGTGGCACATATACACCATGGAATATTATGCAGCAATCAAAAATGATGAGTTAGTGTCCTTTGTAGGGACATGGATGAACCTGGAAACCATCATTCTCAGCAAACTGACACAAGAACAGAAAATCAAACAACACATGTTCTCACTCATAGGTGGGTGTTGAACAATGAGAACACATGGACACAGGGAGGGGAGCACTACACACTTGGGTCTGTTGGGGGGAAATAGGCGAGGGACAGAGCGGGGTGGGGAGTTGGGGAGAGATAGCATGGGGAGAAATGCCAGATATAGGTGAAGGGGAGGGAGGCAGCAAATCACACTGCCACGTGTGTACCTATGCAAAAATCTTGCATGTTCTTCACATGTACCCCAAAACCTAAAATGCAATAAAAAAAAAGAAAAGAAAAGAATGACCTGGCAACACAGCAAGACCTCATCTCTAAAAAAATTTTTTTTTAATGTAAAAAAATTTAAAAACGTGATCACATTTTTCTGGAGAGAAATTTAACAATATTTTTCGTGAGCTTTAAGTTAATAGTGCAATATAAAATTAGCCAGGCATGATGGCAGGTGCCTGTAATTCCAGCTACTCGGGAGTCTAAGGCAGGAGAATTGCTTGAACACGGGAAGCAGAGGCTGCAGTGAGCTGAGATCACACCACTGCACTCCAGCCTGGGTGACAGGGCAAGACTCTGTCTCAAAAAAAAAAATTTAATAATGTAATATTATGAACTACTGATACATGAAACATAGATGAATCCCAAAAACGTAATTCTGAGGGAACAGTACATACGCTGGGTGCGGTGGCTCACGCCTGTCATCCCAACACTTTGGGAGGCCAAGGTGGGAGGATCACTTGAGCCCAGTAGTTCTGGACTGGCCTGGGCAACATGGCAAGATGCCCCATCTCAATTTTTTAAAAATTAAAAAAAAAAAACAAAACCCAAAGCCCCATGGACTGACAGGCAGACAACACATACGCACACATGCCTGTAGATTTCTAGGTGTGAGTCAGACATCCCGGGTCTCCCTGGCTCCAGGGGCCACTGTTCCTGCTCTCCAGTGTCTCCCGCAGTTGACCTGAGGAAAGCAGGATGCACCTTCCCCTCCCCCATGGTGCGGCTGGGGGTGGGCTCCACAGTACCAGCCTCTGCTAAAGAAGTCTGCTTCCACTGGGTGCCATGGCTCACCCCTGTAATTCCAGCATTTTGGGAGGCTGAGGTGGGTGGATCACTTGAGGTCAGGAGTTTGAGACCAGCCTGGCCAATATGGTGAAACACTGTCTCTACTGAAAATACAAAATTAGCTGGACGTGGTGGCAGGCGCCTGTAATCCCACTTACTCAGGAGGCTGAGGCAGGAGAATAGTTTGAACCTGGGAGGTGGAGGTTGCAGGGAGCTGAGATGCGTCACTGCAATCCAGCCTGGGCAACAAGAGTAAAACTCCATCTCAAAAAATAGTAATAAAAATAATTTAGGCTGGGTGTGGTGGCTCTCACCTATAATCCCAGCACTTTGGGAGGCAGAGACGGGCAGATCATGAGGTAGGATGATCGAGACCATCCTGACCAACATGGTGAAACCCCATCTCTACTAAAAATACAAAAAAATTATCTGGGCGTAGTGGCATGAGCCTGTAGTCCCAGCTACTGGGGAGGCTAAGGTAGGAGAATCGCCTGAACCCAGGAGGCAGAGGTTGCAGTGAGCTGAGATTGGGCCATTGCACTCCAGCCTGATGACAGAGTGAGACTCTGTCTCAAAAATGTAATAATAAATAATAATTTAAAAATTAAAAATAAAGAAATCTTCTTCCTAGTCTCTGACTCCTCTCTCGGCCTGTCCAACCGTTTTATAAGCTGGATGTGGGTGGTCAGTCTGGTGACTCAGAACTACCAGCTCCCAGATATTTCCCTCCCAGCCCTGCATAGGTGGTCTAGCATCCCAGGTTGGAATCGGGAGGGGCTGCCCCGCCTGTCTGGGGTCTCAGCCAAGCCTGAGGCAGAAGGAGCCTGCTAATTACCATCCAGGTGCTCATTAGCAGCCCCTCCTCTCCTCCCCTCAGGATTCTTTCCAATTCCTATTTACTCAACCTCTCCCTCCTGACCAGAACCTGCCCACTGACATTTCAACATATTTAAATCTCTCCTGAAATTAAAAAAAAAAAAAACAAAAACAAACCTGTTTTGACCCCAAATCTCCTTGCAGCTACCTCCTAATTCTCTCTTTCCTTTCGAAGCCAAACTTGTGAAAAAGCTGTCTGCATCCACAATCTCCCTTCCTCACCTCCCACGCATTCCAGTCTGGCTTCCACCCATCAGTTCCAGAAGCATCTCTTTCCAAGATGGTCTGATGCTAAGAGCGCTGGGCTGAGGCTGGAGAGCATGAAGCTAGCCTGGCCTAGGCAGGACCCTGGCCATGGGAGCAGCAGTAGGGGACACAATGGTTGGAGTTACCCAGGGTTATCAATGGCAACTGCAGATGATAAACTAGAACTTCTGAGCAGTTCCAGAAAAAATATCTGGCCTTGAGTCCTGAGACTATGCCAACACCTACTTACCTTCATCAATTAATTCATTCATCCAGTCAATAACTCTTTATTGAACACACCTGGGCCAGACCCTGAGGTCGGCACCTGTTATAGACTTGCTCTCTTCCCTCATGGAGCTAACTGGGCATCAAAGAGTCATGAAAATACACAAAGATAACCGAGATGTTGGATGGAGAAGTGCAGAGTGTATCACTGTGGGATCAGATCTGGCCTGAAAGGTCAAGAGATTTTCCGGTTGGGATCTGGACAATGACTAGGAATTCGCTAGTCCAGAAGGGACGGGAGTAAGGAGATGATAGGGAATTGGGGGAAAAGCATCTCTGTGGGACCAAGAGGCCAGGGATTCCAGAATTGAAAAGGATCAGCAGGAAGCAAGTAGGGAGGGGTGGGGAGAGCTGGATAGAAATTAGATTTTTCTCTTTTTGTTTTTTTTTGAGACGGAGTCTTGCTCTGTTGCCCAGGCTGCAGTGCAGTGGCACAATCTCCACTCACTGCAACCTCCACCTCCGGGGATCAAGCAATCCTTGTGTCTCAGCCTCCCAAGTAGTTGGGACTACGGGTGTGCACCACCAAGCCTAATTTTTTTACATTTTTAGTAGATACAAGGTCTGGCCATGTTGGCCAGGCTGGTCTTGAACTTCTGACCTCAGATGATCTGCCCAGCTTAGCCTTCCAAAGTGCTGGGATTACAGGGGTGAGCCACTGTGCCTGGCTGCAATTAGGTTTTTCTCTCTGTCCCTCAGCCTTTGTGCCAAACCTGTCTCCTGCCTCATCTGAAGGACTTTAGCACCATCCACTCCCTTGATGCGGTTGACCCTTTTATTTCCCTTCCTCCCAGGACTCTGTGATGCCTGAGCTCTTGCGTGTCCCTCCTCTGACCTGAGTGCGAGTGTTCCGTAGAGCTCTACCCAGGCCTTACTCCCTTTCCCAACCCTTTTTCTTGACATTGTCTCCCACTTTCATAGCATGTCACTTCTAACAGATCTCCAGTCCCAGAACTCTTCTGTGGACCCAGGTTCAGAGATCTCCTTGCCCAGTGATCCTCTTCACACAGATACCCTGCTCACTATCTTAAACACAGCAGATCTTAGAGTTAGAAAATGTTAAGTCTCACTTTTGTTGAGAAGGTGTAGAAAGTAACATAAAGCAGTCAGGTGTGGTGGTGCGCACCTGTAGTTCCAGTCACTCGGGAGCCTGAGGCAGGAGGATCGCTGGAGCCCAGGAGTTTCGAGGCTGCATGGAGCTATGGTCACACACTGTACTCCAGCATGGAAGACAGAATAAAACTCTGTCTCATAACAAAATTAATTAATTAATTAATTAATTAAAAATAATATAAACCCCTTTTGTTCCCCAAAACTTGATTAAAAATAAATCAACTGGCTGGGCGCAGTGCCTCATGCCTATAATCCCAGCACTTTGGGAGGCCGAGGCGGGTGGATCATGAGGTCAAGAGATCGAGACCATCCTGGTCAACAAGGTGAAACCCCGTCTCTACTAAAAATACAAAAATTAGCTTGTGCATGCCTGTAGTCCCAGCTACTCAGGAGGCTGAGGCAGGAGAATTGCTTGAACCCAGAAGGCGGAGGTTGCGGTGAGCCGAGATCGTGCCATTGCACTCCAGTCTGGGTAACAACAGCGAAACTCCGTCTCAAAAAAAAAAAAATCAACTAAGACACAGAATCTGGAACAGAGCCTGAACCTTCCCACTGGAACCTATACACTTGATGCAGATGATGAGCTGTGAACAGCCTTTCTTTATGCTGATACAGAAATTCAAGTTAAATGAACTTTGATTAGTTGATTAATCAAATTGAAGCAAGGTGCCAGTAAAGCTAAATTTAACTGTGACCTGTTCTAGATTCCAAATTGCACATTTCCTCTTTTTTAGTTTTTTTCCAACTCAGTGTAATTGGATTGTTGAGTCTGAGTGATACGTATATGAAGAGTTTATCATACTTCTTTTGTGCACATCTGAAATTTTTCATAATAAAAATCTAAAAGGGGCCAGGCAGCCAGGCGCGGTGGCTCACGCCTGTAATCCCAGCACTTTGGGAGGCCAAGGCGGGCAGATCACAAGGTCAAGAGTTCGAGACCAACCTGACCAACATGGTGAAACCCTGTCTCTACTAAAAATACAAAATTGGCCGGGCACAGTGGTTCACACCTGTAATCCCAGCACTTTGGGAGGTCAAGGTGGGCGGATTACAAGGTCAAGAGATCGAGACCATTCTGGCCAACATGGTGAAACCCCATCTCTACTAAAAATACAAAAATTAGCCAGGCGTGGTGGCACACGCCTGTGGTCCCAGCTACTTGGGAGGCTGAGGCAGAAGAATTGCTTAAACCCAGGAGGCGGAAGTTGCGGTGAGCCAAGATTGCACCACTGCACTCCAGCCTGGCAACAGAGCAAGGCTCCATTGCTAAATAAATAAATTAATTAATTAAAAAAACTAAAAATACAAAATTTAGCTGGGCATGGTGGTGGGTGCCTGTATTCCCAGCTACTCAGGAGGCTGAAGCAGGAGTATCACTTGAACCCGGAGGCTGAGGTTGCAGTGAGCCAAGAATGTGCCACTCTACTGCAGCCTGGGTAAGACTGTGTCAAAAAGAAAAAAAAAAAACCCTAAAAGGAAACAATGTCTCTGTTTCTTTTCTTTCCTTTCTGCAGCCCACCCCCACCCAATAACTAGCCTGACTTGATTACTTGATTAGCGCTTATCTACAGTGTAACTCCTAAACTTCCTGCTATGAGAGAATTGCCTGGACTCCTGAAACATGCTTTTTTGGAGGAAATCAGGTGATATGAGACATATAACTATGCTCTGAAGTTGCAAATGACATCATCAGTGAATTAGTTTGCTTTTTGCTTCTTTTCTTTGTTCTTCTAACCATATGTGTATGTAAATGTGTGCATGTGTATACCCTGAGAATTTCTGCGCAGGGAGGAAGTGGTTCAATCTGCTTGTCTCTGAGCAGCCGTTGGCTTTTAGAATAAAGAAATGACTCTGCCTTGTTTCTGATTCAGATGCATCATGAGGCTTGCTTTCATCCATGAGGTCTAAATTTAAACGCCTGTCTTCTCCCCCTATAAAACTTAATCCTCTTTCTCCATAACACTGTAGAAAAATAAAAAATAAAAAAAAACTTGGCTTTACATGGTGTTTAGCTTAGATCTGTAAGAGGAGCTTAAGTGTTGATTACAAGAAACACCAAGAGAATGAAAACTAGCTTGGAAACCTGATGTAGCTCAGAAAACTCCATATGACAAAGACACCACGCAGCTTATGTAGGCACCCAGGTCAGAAGGGCAGTGCACGGGAGCCTAATTGGTCAAGGCCATTGTCATGTTCTGTCTGAGGACTGACTCAGTCCTCCCATTCCTTCAACCATAACTTCCATTCCTTTCCACACCTCTCCCACTGCTGTCTTCATTTCAGCAGAAAAAGACCATCTCTCTTGACCAAAATATAAGGCCCACAATAGTATCATTTTGCACATTTCACCCACCTTGTTTAAATTTTTATTTTGATATACAGTCGTCCCTGGATATCCATAGTGGATGGGTTCCAGGACCTCCCTCCGATACCGAAATCCATGGATGTGCAAGTCCCTGATAAAAATGTAGTAATATTTGCATATAACCTATGCACATTTTCCCACATACAGAACATTAAATCATCTCTAGGTTATTTCTAATACCTAATAAAGTATAAATGCTATATAAATAGTTGTTGTATTGTTTACAGAACAATGACAAGGGAAAAAAAAGTCTGCACATGTTCACTACAGACACAATAAAAAAAATTTCTTTTGATTCAAGGTTGGTTGAGACCACAGATGCAGAACTCATGGATATGGAGGGCTGACTGCAAGTTCAAACACAGAGAACTCCCATAAGTGCAGTATAAGAAACCCATCTATAGCCTTTACTCTGGCCCCATTTTTATTTTCTCTGTCTTTCTAAGTCTTGCTGGAGTTAATCCATTTTACTAATCTTTTCAAAGAATGGAATTTTGTGGGCTTTTTGAAACAGGGTCTCATTCTGTCGCCCAGGCTTGAGTGCAGTGGCACAATCACAGCTCACTGTAGCCTCCACCTCCAAGGGTCAGGTGATCGTCCCACCTCAGCCTCCTGAGTAGCTGGGACTACAGGCATGCACCACCATGCCCAGCTAAGTTTTGTATTTTTTTTTAACAGACAGTTTCACCATGTTGCCCAGGCTGGTCTTGAACTCTTAATCTCAAGCGACTGAAGTACTGGGATTACAGGCGTGAGCCACTATACCCAGCCTAACATATTTTTAAATTTCCTTTGTGATTTATTCTTTGACCCATGAGTTACTTAGTAGTGTATTGTTTAATTTCCACTTACTGGGGGGATTTTCTAGATTTGTTTATTATTCTAGCTAATATAATTCCATTGTGGTCAGAGGACATAATTGATAAAATATCAGCCTCTATTTATTGACCTACTTATAGTCCAGAGAATTTTTCATGTGTCCTTGAAAAAAAAAAGTGTATTTTGTGGTTATCCAGCACAGTGTTTTATAAATGTCAATTAGACAAGGTTGGTTAATTGTGTCATTCAAGTACTACATATACTCAGTGATTTTTGTTTTCTTGGTCTATTGGTTACTGACAGAGATATTAAATTCTCCTTTCTTTTTTTTGAGATGAAGTCTCGAATTGTCACCCGGGCTGGAGTGCACTAACACGATCTCAGCTTTCTTGGCTCACCGCAACCTCTGCCTCCTAGGTTCAAGCAATTCTTGGACCTCAGCCTCCCGAGTAGCTGCGATTACAGGCATGCACCACCATGCCCTGCTAATGTTTCATATTTTTAGTAGAGATGGGGTTTCTCCATGTTGGTGAGGCTGGTCTCAAACTCCTGACCTCAGGTGATCTGCCTGCCTCAGCCTCCCAAAGTGCTGGGATTACAGGTGTGAGCCACGGCACCCGGCCTGAGATGCTAAAATCTCTAATCATGACTGTGGATTTGTCTAGTTATTACTTTAGTTCTGTTAGCTTTTCCTTCATGTATTTTAAAGCTCCATTACTGTTATGGACTGAATTGTGTCCTCTCCCACAATTTGTATGTATAAGTCTTAACTCTGAGTTCCTTAGAACATGATTATAATTGGAGATAGGGTCTTTACAGAGATAATTAAGTTAAAATGAGGTCATTAGGGAAGGCCCTAATCCAATATGACTGGTGTCCTTGTAAGAAGAAATTTTGACACAGACACAGAGGGATGATAATATGTAGACAAAGGGAGAAGATGGCCCTCAGAAGGAATCAACACTATCAACAGCAAGGTCTTGAATATTTTGTTTTGTTTTGAGATGAAGTTTCACTCTCGTCACCCAGGCTGGAGTGCAATGGCACAATCTCGGCTCACTGCAACCTCCACCTCCTGGGTTCAAGCAATTCTCCTGCCTCAGTCTCCTGAGTAGCTGGGACTACAGGTGCCCACCTCACCATGCACAGCTAATTTCTGTATTTTTAGTTGAGACAGAGTTTCACCATGTTGGCCAGGCTGAACTCCTGACCTCAGGTGATCTGCCCGCCTTGGCCTCCCAAAGCGCTGGGATGACAGACGTGAACCACCATGCCCGGCCCCCAGTCTTGAATGTTTAACCTCCAGAACTGTGAGAAAATAAATGCCAGTTGTCAACACCATCAGTCTGTGATGGGTTTCTATGGCAGACTTAGCAAACTAATATAGTTACTAAGTGTACACAGTTAGGATTATTAAGTATTCTTAATAAATTGATTCTTTTATAAATAGGAACTACTTCTTCTTGTATCTAGTAGTACTCCTTATCTTGATGTCTACTTTATTTGATATTAATATCACGACATCAGCTTTCCTGTTTGTTCGTATTCTTATTCTTGTTTTTTATTTGTCTTCTTATTTGTATTGTGTCCATATAATATATATTTCCCCATCCTTTTACTTTCACTTTTTTAGTCTCTATATATTCAAAGCGTGTCTCTTAAGACAGCATAGCTAGGTGTGGTGGCTCATGCCTGTAATCCCAGCACTTCGGGAGGCCAAGGTAGACAGATTGCTTGAGTCCAGGAGTTTGAGACCAGTCTGGGGGACATGGTGAAATCCCACCTCTACAAAAAAAATACAAAAATTAGCCAGATGAGGTGGTGCATGACTGTCATCCCAGCTACTTGGGAGGCTGAGACAGGAGGATCACTTAAGCCCAGGAAGCAGGGGTTGCAATGAGCTGTGATCATGCCACTGTACTCCAGCC